TTCACCGCTGTGAAGCAAAAGGTGTTTTTTTAAATTCGTTTTATACGAGAAGTCCTTGCGGCAGACGATGCATTTATAACGGCGTTCGCCGCTGTGGACCTGCATGTGCGATTTTAAATGCGATCTCTGCTTGAAATCTTTTTGGCATACGGAACATTGATGACGTCTTTCGTCTTTCGGAATAGTCCTTACTTCACTTTGTCTTTCTAACTTGCTCTTGTCGCCGGCGGAGTGTTCATCTTGACGCCTCGTGCCGTTGGGCTTCGGGCAATGTGAGATGGCGGCGCTCTCATCTGGCGCGACGAGTGCGTTCGCAAGTGTTGGATCGCCTCCCTCCTCGCTCTCGCCTGTCGACCTTTCCATAGAGCTTCCCGCTCCTGCCACCCACTCGCCGAGGGCGCCCTCTCCGCCAGGCGCTCCACCTGTGGGCAGAAACACTCCGTTAGCAACAGCCCGAAACCAAGTGAGAGATTGATGAAATGCAGGTGTTGCAAAGCACATACTCTCTCGAGTTCTTTGAAACTATTATATCATATTACACAACTTAAGCCCAGAAAAAAATGTGTGCTGGGCTGCGATTTCAACGTGAACGCATAAGCTTCGCGATTAATGCTCTTATCTGTTACACCGTCAGCGCTGATTAGGTACAAACATTGCCAACGCATCAAAAGTTGAACTTTTCCGATTTTCAAAATTTCGCAGGTTTTACTGAAAACCGGATCCGGATTTACGTTAACATGCAAACATTCTTCTATTCGAGCAAGAAAGTTTTTTCATAAACTGAGTTTGAGAAAATATTGTTTCATGCTTTTTACCTTCCCTCTTATCAGTAGAATGTTAAGAAGCTGCAAAAAAATGTGCACACACAATCACGTCTAAAGAGTCTAAAGGGATTATTTCGCTCCAACAAACTCTAATCACGGAAATGTAGTTAGAGCTAGCCGCTTGGGAAATTCCATTAAGGAAGTCGTTAGGGAATTCAATATTACGAGATCCACAGGGTCAACAGTGTACCACAACCTTCTCCAACGAACAGTGACTGACATCCTTCGCTTAATGACCGAGAGTAGCACCGTTTGCGTAGTTGGCAGTGCTAAAGAGTAACACTGCGAAAATACGAAGAACGTATCCTTTAGAGCGGCGCAGCAAAAATTGCCTTTACCGGGCTATGACATCACAAGACTTTCCTAACAGCACGACCTCGCCTGAGGGGCTTCTGGGCTCGTGACCATATCGGTTTGTTCTTTAGACTGGAAAACCGTAGCAAGTTCAGGTGAGTCCCGATTTCAGTTCTTAAAAGCCAATGGAAGAGTACGAAAGAGGCACAGGCCACTAAGCCAAGGGCCCAAGATGTCAACAACGCACTGTGCAAGCTGGGGGTGGCTGCATACAGGGCGTTCAGTTATGTGAACGGTGTTTTTGTTTTACAACTATTGCTGCCAAGTATCAGCAATCGAGCCAGGGGGCGTGGTCGGGGACTAACACGCAAATATTATTCGCTTTTATTTCATAAACGTTGGCCAACTTGCCTTTGAGCCGTGGAACCACCGTTTTGCCGTTCCGCCTAAGGAAAAAGTTTACGGAAAAATATTTCGTGTTAGTGAAAGAATAATGTGGACATATTCTGAAACTATGTTCAAGATAACTACTATTAAAAGTTAATATTTACTGTAAATTTTATTTAGTTCTGAATCATCTGAAGTCAACTAACAGGAACTGTTTATTGGTGGGCCTTTAGTCTGGTTCTTCTTGTTCCCTTCTGCATCATGACGAGGTTATATTCAAAAGGCAAGCAAATTATCTCCTACATTCTCTACGATTGAAAGATATTCATTTATTTATATGATCGATTAAACAAGAAATGATTTGCATTTACTGAAATATGTTTAAATGTGTGAAATTGGAGTTAGGTCACCATGTGCAATGACTTGCTTGCAGAAACGGCTGACACCTTTAATGGGGGGGGGGGGAGGCTGCATGCAAAAATAGAAAATAAATTGAGACATGTTCAGTACCGGTGTACGTCTACCATGAGCATTTATATCTTGAAGAGTTAAGCTCGTAAGTACTCAAGTTTTCGAAAAAATTGTACATAACCTTATTTCAAAATCTATCTTTAAGAAACAGATTTCAGTAAAGACAAAAATCTCTAACTTCAATTTTTTAGTTTGAGCAATTCTCCTAAAAAAATTGAACTTATGCAATTTTTGAAGTATTAGACATTTATCGAAAATAAGACCTGCACCATTCTCTTTAAACGCCCTTCACACTATCCAATAATGAAATTTAATCAAAAACGATACTGCCATGTCTTTTTGTTGTTGTTTTTAAAAAAAATGAGAATGTTCCAGCGGCATCATGCGAAGTACGCCCCAAAATGAAAATATCGGTTTCAAATTCAAGGGGTCGCGACATCAGTCAAAATCGGTACAATTTCTAGACATAGTAACAACAATGATTATAATCTAACGATGTAGTATAAATAAAAATAAATTCAAAATATTCCTCTTGAAATACGTTTCAAGATAACAGGAAACGATGGATCATGCCACGTCGAGTTTTTGCACTTTGCCGAACAAAGGAAGGTCCGACACATTAAGAGCTATCCCATGACTTCACCATCATCTCTTATAAACGCTCGGGGGGACCTTGATATAGAGATAATCTATACATCCCTATATGTCGGCCAAGCCGTAGTTATTCACTGTACTTTAAAAACGGAAAGATACACTTTGCATTTAGGACGCATCGGTAGATTCTGTGCAAAACACGAAAAAATACACATTTTTGGGATTTTGTGTTTTACGCAACTCGCACAGATGTTTCGAATCTGCAAAATCAGTCACATGCCACTGGCACAGGCCCTAACACACCATATTAATGAACTACGTGACTTTTTCTCGTCTTGTCATTTTCTGCATAATTACCACTTATCTCCATGAGCTGTTAGCAGCTGGAAATTCCAAACTCAGTCCCCGAGATTCGAATTTTTAGTGCATCACGAAGCAAGACAAATCTCCTTAACCAGAAAAGTTAAATAAAATACTTTTTTTTCGTTATCAACCCGTTACCTCCACAATGGAAAACTCAATAGAGAGGGTACTGCGATTAATTAATCTAGTTGTGAAAATATATATTTAAAAATGGTTTTAAACAAGAAAAAAGAATGTAAAGGGGAATTATTAAATAGAAATATGATATAAATTGATATTTTTTAGGATTACAAAACAAATACAATTTAGAAATATTCTGCAAAATAATCATTCCTCCTACTACGAAAATTTCATGAGACACATGGCAATTGCCAGTATTTTAAAAAATGTAATTGAAATGATTTTTTGTAACTACTTACCAGCGAAACTACACAAGTTTTCATGAATAAATTAAATTCAATAATTTGAGATTTACCGCCTTTGGGTGGTCGAGTACCTTAAATGACTGGCACTTCACAATATATGAAATCAATTAATTCTTTATACTCACCAATAGACCATTCACTTTCACCAAGGGCATTTTCACCGTCCACTGCCAACGGGTCCTGCAGCAGAACAACAAACACAATTGGTCAATGCACCATGATGACAGAAGGATTTTAAAAACAATCCCAATATAGGTTACGACCAAAAGGTTATTTTTTCCACTTCAAGCCTCCCGTTTGTCTAAAATGTATTATATTATTATTATCGTGCACAAGGTTTATTCCATAAGTTTCTGATCTCTCTTTTCATTTTTGATGCAAAGAAAAAGTATAACTTTTTCATCCTTTACTCAAACCCACTTTTCTCATCTGCATACAAGGTTTGCCTCGAAAAATGCGTCTCGATTTGTTTTGTCGCCACTATAAGTTTCAGAACGGTCCGACTAGTTTGGATAGGATAAGGGGAGCTCTAGCTATTTAACTGTTTCTAGTTCAGTTGTCTCGTGCCCCGGGGAGTTTAGAAAGTGGAAGTTTGTGAGCTCCTGTGCAGTCGCGTCGTACTTACGATGGAAAAATCTTTGGATGAAAGATACGCGATCAAGTTTAGCGCGAAGCTGAACAAGACGCGTACGGATCTTTCATCCTCATTTTTGGACACTCAGGAAGGAGTCGCGGAACTTCGAGTAAAGGACCTGGAAACAGGAGCAGAGCGTGGAGCGTCACACTTTGGCGTCTCCGAGCTCCAAGAAGACTCGCACGAGCGAATCGAGAGAGAGATAGAAAAAAAAAGAAGATAACTGCTCTTTTGATACGAAGGGGATAGTGCACAATGAGTTCGTACCTCCCAGACAGACCGTAAACGCCCACTTCTACACGGGCAAGGGCTCCTTAGGCTGAACGACGGGGCCACCAACGTTCTAAAGGAGATCATGACGACAGAGCGACGGTTCCCGGCGCCTTCCTCGTCGCGGACTACCTGATCCGTATCGGCTTCCACGACCGCTCTGTATCATTGCTCCGGCGGACTTCTTTGTGTTCATTACGCCGAAAAGGTCGTCTCGTCGCCCATCTTACACCAAGGAGGTCCGGGTTCGATTCCCGGACAATCTCATGTGAAATTTGTTCCGACAAAACGAGTTTGGCTGCTTCACAAGGGCTAATCCAACACCTATGAAATCCAAGTCCTAAACCCGACCCCTATCCTGATTACGAGAAAGTAACGAAAACGCTACTAAATATGAAACTGCAACGACAGAATTAGGGAACAGTACGCGCCATAATGTACAAATTCTTTCAATTGAAAGAAATGCGAAAACTGGCACTATAACAGGAATGTGTAGATTGTTTATGGAAAGTAAACTTAATCACAGACTGCAGAAATAATAGCACCCTGTTTACAATATAGTTGATACAAATGACAAATATAATTCATGAACAAGTGAAAAACGCACTCCTCTCATTATTAGCAGATCGTAAGAGTATCAACAAATTCTGGTTTTATCACTACCCCAAATTCCTAAAAACGTTGCGAATAAATAAATCGATACCACACTGGTTGAAATTAAACAGTCATTTTTCTTACGTCATATTGCTGTCCCTCATCTCCAACGAACTCTTCCTTGATATCCACTCTGACTAGTGGCTTGAGTTCTTCCTGCAAATATAAGAAAACACATTCACATATAATCTACATAAAACACATTCACATATAGCCTACAAAAATGCGCGAACACACACACACACACTTACACGCATCGTGATAATCTTTCCATGTGAACCGTTGTAAAATTGTCCAGATAATCCTGGCACTGTTTGAGGGAAAATGAGAAATAAGTCGCGATTCTGTGCGAACAATGCAGAAACCGTCACGATTCATTGTAGGTACGTGACCTCCGCAACAGAGAGCGGCAATTTGGGCACGTGGGAATCCTCAATCCTAAGAGTTAATGACTTAACGCCGCAATTGGATTCGAACGGGGTAAAAATAGATCGAGTCTCCATCTACAGCTGATTCACGTCACCGAATCCTTCATTTGACGAATTTGAGGAACATATCGACAGTTTAGTCCTTGTCGCAAGTGTTCTCACAATTGCGAGAGAACTTCAACGCGTGGACAGTGGAGAGAGGCAGAGAGAAGACTACAGGCAAGCGAGGTCCAGCTACGCAAGAATCTCTCTTTCCAACGTAGAGCTTGTTAACAATAGATATATAGGTGCCTTTCGCAGAGTTGATGTGGGATCTGTGGTGGGTATAACGTTTATGAGAAGTAGATTGTTGAGAACGGGAGTTACTTGGATAGTAAGATTGTAGAGTAGGACTTCAGGAGAAACTCAACGGCATTTCAGTATTGTGCTTCACAGAATACTGGCTGACCAAAGAACAATTAAAAAATACATATATACCAAGTTTCTCTCTAGCCAGCAGCTCATGTCAAAACATTAACAACACACATCATGCGTATGGTGGGACATGCATTTTTATTAAAGATACTATTACTTTTGTACCCTACACCAGTCACACACTCTCATAAAAGAGAAAGACTTTGAAATATCCATCACTGACTTAACTACAATAAAAACATATTGCAGCCCTACTGGGAATTTCAAAATCTTTTAAAAAAATCTGTAAGTTATTCTAACAAAACTTCAAAAACACAGACAAAATAAAATTATTCTTTGCGGCGACTTCAATATAAATGGCCTCACACAATCCTGTAATGAAAATCTATTTAAAGACCAACTACAAATCATACAATTTACTAACAACCATAAACACACCAACCAGAATATCCAAAAATAGTAGCACTGCTATAGATAATATAGAATAATAATAGATGCAAATAACCATTGTTTTCTGTTGCTACATTTAATACAGGTTTCAGTGACCACACTGCCCAGATTCTAACACTTCAAACAGAAACAAAAATCGCAGAATTAGATCAGCATTACAAAGAAATCCATAAATATTCCCAAGAAAACATAATGGAATTTCAAAACTTACTGAGATTCAAAAACTGGAATGAAGTATGTAAGGCAGCTGATACAAATGATAAGTTTAATTCATTCATAAATATATACTTAAGACATTTCAATGCCATTTTTCCTCAAAAACTCAAAAAGATCAAATATAAGAAAACTAAATCATGGATTACCACAGGCATCAAAGTGTCGTGTGAAAGAAAACGCAACATGTATAAAATACTAAAAATAACAAATGTAACTCGAACTTCATTTTATATGACAAAACATATAATTCGATCCTAAAAAAAGTAATCAAGCAAGCAAAAATTATGAAAAATGATAAGTACATTGCAAATGCACGGAGTAAAACAAAAGCTATGTGGGACATTATTAAAAAGACTACAGCACCAACTAATAATAACAGAAAAAATATAGAGCTCCACTACAAAAACCAAACTGTACAAGACCCTCAAGAAATAGCTAATATATTTAATGAACACTTTTCACAAATAAGTAAAAGTTAATCTCTCAACACTCTCAAAGCAAGAAAACACACCAACCAAACACTAATGTTACGCAAATTGTAAATTCCATATTTTTATATGAAATCACCCCCCTCTGAAATTTTTAAAATCATTGGACAAATGGAGAATAAATTCGCAGCAGACCTGAACAACATTGCAGATTTTCTTATCAAACAGTGCTCCATGTATTGTGTAACCACGATACATATCTGCAATTACTCTCTAAAAACAGGCATATTCCCAGATATTTTCAAAATGGCAAATATTAAACCAATGTGTAACAAGGGCAATAGTTATGATCCAATGAACAGACCTATCTCCCTGTTATCAGGATTTTCAAAAATTCTGGAAAGGCTTTTTAATGATAGTCTCAAACAGTTTCTCAATGCAAATAATGTCCTTACAAATGCACAACATGGATTCAGGAGTAATAAATCCACAGACACAGCCATCTCCTTTTTAAATGACATACTTGTTGCTCTAAATCAGAAGGAACTTCCCATTCGCCTTTTCTTCGATTTGTCAAAAGCCTTTGACACCATTGACCATCACATACTTTTAAGAAAACTAGAAATGCTAGGGACTCGAGGCATTGCAGGCCAATGGATCAAATCATATTTATCAAACCGTAGCCAAATAGTTGCCCCCCAGCCCACTAAAGAAAACAAAATCTTCTCATATTATTCCTGCCCTCAAATAATAAATTGTGGAGTCCCACAAGGATCCATCCTTGGGCCAATACTATTCCTTATATACATAAATGACATGCCTTTGGCTTTAAGGAACAACAAAATAATTTTGTTTGCAGATGACACAAACATAATCATCAAAGCAAAAACACAACAATCATTAGAAAAAGAAACTCACAAAACTTTGCAAGCACCATTAAAATGGTTTCAAGACAACAAACTCATCATAAACACCAACAAGACAGTCTCTCTAAAATTCATGAATCCCCGATCTAAAGAAAAACTCTCACAGCATTTGCTCATAAACAATAACCCTGTAACGACATCTCATGAAACTACCTTCCTTCTAACAATTCAAGAAAACCTAAAATGGAATGCTCACATCCTAAATCTTAACAAGAAGCTCACCAAATCTAGCTATGCCCTATACACCCTCAGGTCAAGCTCCAACGTTGAGACACTTCAAACAATGTATTTTCACTCTCACTTTCACAATGTGCACTCACACCTAAAATGTGGAATAATATTCTGGGGAAATGACCCTGAAAGCACCATTATCCAAAAAAGACTACTGCGAACAATGACCAGCACTCATAGTCTTGCAGATCCTTGTTCAATAAACTAAGGATTCTTCCTCTACCATGCATGTATGTATTTGAAATAGTGGTCTTTACAAAGAAAATTCTCATGGAAAACAAAGACACTTTTACTCTAAATTCCAATGTACACAACTACAACACTCATCAAAAGGATAACCTACATGTTCCACGCTTTGAAATTACAAGATATCAAAAAAGTACCCTAATAGAGGGCATTACACTTTACAACAAACTAGGCAATGATATTAAAGACATAAACACACTTCATAGATTTAAAAGTAAATTGAAAGCTTTTCTGCTTAACAACATGTTCTACAGTGTGAGGAATATTCAAATTTCAAATCACAACAATATTTCCCTTAAAAAAAATATACACATACTAATGGTAAATTGAGATAACTTCATAGAGCGTAAAAACCACAAGGCCCAAGACAGAAGGTCTTTTATGAAAATTTCAGATAAAACTTGTTTAAGAACTGCGTAATGCAAAGTATGACAAATTTTAACAGCTAGCAAATACATAATAGGTATACATATTTAAAAACAAAATACACTGAATTCAAGATTATCAAACGAAAAGAATTATGTGTAAGCGCACTCACTTTATACATGACCTTTACACAGAAAATTTCTACAATGTACATAACAAGGAAAGCCACAATGAAGCATCGGATAAAAGGAAAATGAAGTCATGTTGACCAAATTCAGTCAAGCATAACTGTGACCTACATAACTTTTCCATGCACATTCATGTGTCCACATAGTTGTTGTTGAAAGCCAAATTAGCACACTGAAGTTCTCTGAGCAAATGACTGAGGAAAATGGAAGAGAAATGAGTGGCGAAGGGTAGGGGTCAAATTAATAAATTGAACAACAGAAAAATTATGTAAATCAATATATATGAAAAATGAACATGTATCGAGGAGTCATAAGACAAATGTTCTACAAAGAAAATCATTCATTAGCTGCAATAGTGGCACATCTGTTAATCGGATAATTATTTTCTAGAAGAATGTTAGACACACAAATGAAGTTTTGTTTATGAAAATCAGGGTGGGATTATTGTATGGCCTTATCCACTAAATTAAAGCCCCATTGGTAGTTCACTGATCAGCGCGCTCACTTTTCACGACACAATTCCAGGTCTGATTCCTGTTCGGGGCAAAAATTAATTGTGCGCTTTCCTTGCAATGTTCCAGTATCTGTTGCAGTGTGATGATGAGAAAGCTCACATCTCAGTTTAAGAAGACTGAGAGAATACTGTGTACGGATGTCTATGTACTAACCACATGTACTCCTTAACCCATGGCCGCAAGACCAGCACGCTGCTGGTAGGGCCTGGCCCCATCAGAGGCTGTTGTGCCAGTAGACAGACAGATCCACTTAATTATAAACTACACCTCTTTTTCATTGGTGTGGGTGAGATGAAAAGAAATTTAACTGTCCTTCCATGTGGCGGAGTCCCTAGGAACCTTACATGAGTTTTAATTTTGTTTTAATTGCGCATCACGGAAATGTTTAGAACGTTAAGGGTTTTATTATTCTCACATTCTAGGGTAAACTGGATGGTGGGATCATATACATTAAATGTACTTAAGAAATATACAATATTGTCATTATGAAAAAGATGAAAAGCTCACCAACATACCGTTTGAAAAAAAGGGGAGATTTAAATCTGGAAGAACACTTTCTGATTCTTTGCTCAAATGCAGAAAATGAAATGCTCTTTGCAGAAAATGAAACTGGCAGAACGACCAATTGAGTTCTTGTTGGCTGTCTGTTAATAACCTTATCAAATTTGAATTCCATATTGCATAAAAGACATTTACTGACTACAACTATTTCTTCCACTGAAAGCTAAAAATCAGTGTAGCGAAGCAATGAAATCAAGTCAAAATGGTTTCAAATAATATTCTTTTCATTAATTTTACTGCTTGAGAATACAATTTAGTGAGCTGTAAAAGTGGTATTTCTGTGAAACAATTGGCGAAGCCTCACAAAAAAAAATTTTTTTTGAGTTTTAGAAGACCATAGGCCTTAGGAATTTTACCCGTAGTTGGGTAAATCATAAGTTTTTAAGCTGTATAGTATTTAATTGTCTTCCACTATTTTATAATTTCTTGAAAGTTGTTATGAAAAGAGGTCTATTAACCTCTTTTTAGGGGGTAACATTTCTCAGTATCTACAAACAATTCTTTAACCGTAAACAGGTATTCGCATCTTTCAATCGCAGCAAATCTACCACCTTTATCACAAATGACGAAAATAATGTCCAGATTCTCTTTAATGAAAACATCACTATCAAGTAAGCCAAAATCAACTTATCGAATTGGGAAAAGAGGCATTAAAATCTAAAATTAGATTAAAAGGACACAAAAATACCCTACAGTTGTTCCTTTAGTTCTTCTAGAAGACCAAACGATGAATTTTTTAATTTATTAATATACATAAAAACTACTTTTTTTTTTGACATTGCCTGCCAGAGGTAGTTAAATTTAGATAGAGATAGAAGAATGACAATCAGTTTGAAGATTTCTGTGAATGTTCTAAAAATTTGAGAATCTGTATCAAAAAGTTTTGAATCATTCTTTCAACTCATTATCTCGTTTCTAGAAGTTAATAAAACGTTTGTGCCAATAAACCCTATTCAGTCATAGACATAGAACACCACAGAAAATTTGCGAAACATCACAATTCAAAAAAATGTACGATAGACTTGAACCTTAAGTAATATTTAAATTCTGATGATTTCAATTTTTCTATGTGAACCGTCAACCAACGTTATGACAATTGGGAGTTCAAAAAATTGACAAAAAGTGAAAAAATGTTTTTAATGCACCAATAAATAGCGATTAAGGCAAGGGTGGGACAAAATAAAACAGAAATACAAGCAATATATTAGGAAACTCACCAGTGTGAGAAAATCTGTAACACCACTAGTTTTGCCATTTTGGGTGTTTTTTCTTTTAGTCATAACAGAAAAAAACAGGATGATACCAGCTCACCTCCTCATCTTCCTCCTCTTCCTCTCCTCTCTTTGCAGAGTAGGATGAATATCCTTCCTGCAATTAAAAACAGTTCCCTACATAACTGGTGTAATGTTAAAATATCACTAATAAAAACCAAGATGAATATAACTGAATTGTTGCAGAAGTGAAGACTCTTCCACAAATAGAATTTTACAGCCATGGATAAATTGTGAAGGGGTGAAAGATTAAAAATACTACAAAGGTCACAAAAAAACAAAAATATTCTAAGCATCTATATAAAAACCCTAATGGAGTTTTTCACTATGCTATGAATTACAAATTCTTTCTTTTCCTCATTGTACTATAGTAGTGTGAGGAAATGTACTCGAATCACCTCAACAATTCCATCTGAAAATTTTGATTATAAAAGCTCAGTTTAAGATTCTTTGAACTTTGCAAAAACGTCAGTATTAAGACCAACTAGAGCTTTCCCAAGGGGAGTTAAGATTGTTGCAGGTGGAGAAACTGTAAAATATGTGTAATTGTAGAATTATAACACTAAGAAAAGAAATAGTAAGAATTTGGTATGCTGCACATTCCTTCTAGTTTAAATATGAAGTACGACTGATTGATTTTGTTTATTTTCTCACAAACGGTGGCAGCAATTGAGCAGGACAGAGTGGTTGCCCCAAGGTGCATGTTGGCTGAGGGTCTCGAAAGTTTGTTACATAATTTAAAGTTATATATTTCGTATAATGTTTCTAGAATAAATATTTAAAATCATTACTTAACTTTTAAAATTGTGTTAATTTTATATATTATTTGTCACACCTGATTGAATAATACAAACATTTGTAAGGTACATATTACTTGTATTACTAATATCCAATATGTCAAATAGAACCTTCAGCATTTGGGAGCAAACATTTACATTTTCTATTAAACAAAATTGCAAGGATCCCATCAGGGCCCTGTTTTCCCTTTCATGTCAAGTTTTTAAATTTTTTAAAGTACATCAGAAGCAATCAAATCAATGGAGTTCAAAACATGGAGATCTATTAAAAAGATTTATATTCTCCACCTGACTTGAGGGATAAATATTAAAGGTGGAGAAATAACTTGCAAATTAATTCTGAGTATTTGCATAGACAATTGAACCCATCCTCATAAAGTCGTGCAAACCTCTACTAGTGTTCTTAGAGTTAATGTATTTCCAGAAGTTTCACGTATCAGTGATATGTTGTGCAAGATCCTCATTAATCCATGTGAAATCGTCTTTTACATTTATATCTGAGATTTGAAAACAAAGTATAATACAGTGGTAGTTACACATTTTGCAGCATTTGTGAGCTTCCTTGCAAACCTACCCCCTTTCCACTTCACATTCAGAAGATTATGATCTCCAAATAATGTCCAATTGACATCAAGGTACTCCACATCTGGTCTAAATCTTTGTACGTAACGTAAAGATATTGCTTGTTGTTAAAAGCGGACAATAAACACGGCCAATTATCACATTAAGGTTATTCAAAGAAACATGAACAAGGAGATGCTCAACTTCATTAGAGAAATGAAGCTGAAAGCAGTTATGAATATTTCTAATTTTAATAATTAATAATTCTAATTTAGTCAGGATATCATACACAGTCACACATTACAATGTACTGGGGTGTAGTTGAAAAAAAAAGGAGCTTCCAATTGTGAGAAAAACTATCAGGAGATATTAGTTTCAGAAACTAAAAAAAAGTGTTTCATTTCTCAAATAAGGATGGATGAAACATATGGATCAAGAAATCTCAAGAAACTGAGATTTTTGAGCACTCGAATAAAAGTTTTAAACAAATTGAAATTTTTACACTTGGATTATCTGATGATGAGAAGGTGGTATCTTAATTTAGAAAATTTAGCAAACATGTTTATGAAAGATAATACAATTAAATTTGGTTTTAAAGTAGTGAGGCAAATTATTGTTACAAGTGGTGTTACAGAACAGCGCTGACTCTCATTAAGTTTTGTATGCTCATTTGAATGAATATTAGATAGAACTACCTTTACTAGTAAATATTCATTTATATTCAACTTGCTTCACCAATAGAGTGATAAAATTTGCTTCACCAGTAACTTTTGTATTAAAAATTGTTTCAAAAGTTTCTCAATTTCCATGCCTTAGTTTACACGAAATGTACATTACCATTATGTTTGCCCATATCCTTCATTTATAATGCGCTATGCACATTAAAAAGGGTAGGCTTTTCCCTTTACAAATACCACAAAACTGTTCTCTTTTACTCTATCATGAATTCCTAAAATTCCCTTGAGACTGAGTGACATCTTTTACTTACTCACAGGAAAGACGATAAATATAGAACTCACTGTGCAATTCCAAACATTATCCTCAGCATGATCATCCGGTTCCAGCTTAACCTTCAAGGAAGAGAGAGACATTTAAAAAAAATATATTCACCAAGTCTACAGAATGAGCTTAACAATAGTGTATTGAAGTTATGTGCTCATTTTATGCAATATAACAGTCCATAAAATAAGCAACTTCAATACATTACACATTTCTAATCTGTCAACACAGATGCCACTAAACGCTTGTTTAAATACACTGTTTACGAACATTCCCCTTTTATTCCACTATATCATAAGTTTAAACAAAACTGTAGAATACTTGTGTTGAAATTTATCACATGCAACAAGTAGAGTAAAATTTAGTCAATTATTGAAGGAAATGATTATCCAGTTATAGTTTAGTAAAAATTAAGTTTCTTGTATTTCTAGCTACGTTCGTTTATTTAACAAATATTGTAATTACACCTAGATACAGAGTTTGACTTCGGGCAGAACATGACGGTATGGCATTCCAGAATCTCACGAACAATTATTCAGTTCTATTACAAATACATAACTATTTCTATTAAATTAATAATTAATTTGGGGTGCATTCAGGGACTTAAAATTTTACAAATCAAATTTTACACTGCCTAGATATATAATTTAACCCAGATATTGTAATTATATATAGTAACAAAGAAGGTAGATGTTGCCATTCATGAGACAGAATACATTCGTTAAGTCCTTGCTCATTTTCCCAAATCATGTAGATATCTACCGTTATCACAGAGTAAGATTAATAAATTTATGAAATCAATTCAAGATATCTTAAAATTTTGAAAGGACCAAGAACGTATTGGCAAAACGTTCTATTATACAATATACCATACAACAGGACAAATATTCTGAGCATTTGGTTAGACACTATTGGGTCACCATGATACCAATGGTGAAACAACTGTTGAAACCGATATTGGAATTAGATTCTACATAAGTCACTTAAAATAGTTTTTAACTACAACAAGAAATTGTGAATGTTACCGTTCCAACTATTCATGTAGTACTTGCTTCTCTGAACATCACGGCTATATTTCAAAGCATGGCACAATGCATCATTTGATTTTAGAAGGTTTAAACACATATCTTCAACAAATACCACACATAGGTATAACCAACGAGGAGATATTGCAATTTGATTGCCAGTAATACAAGGAACTTTTAACTTTTACTAAAATTTAGTCACTTTCAAAGTGAACAATTTCTACAAGAAAAGGGCTGTAAATTGAGCAAAGTAGTAATTACATTAATGTTAAACAACTTTATTAAAAGACCAGCTATTAGGGGTCCCACAGAATGTGAGTTCATTAATACTACAGTAGTAAGTAACTTTTACTCTGCGACCTCACAACATTCACTTACTGTAAGAAAACAAATTCAACAATAACACTGAGATAACAAACATGTTGAGTTAAAAGAGTTAGGTGGTGGAATCTCAATACACCATGGCCAAGTTTCCATCTTAAAAAAAAAGATGATTGAGTATATTTTATTCTTTACTAGTATTCCTGGAAATCTTCATTTAACACTACACTAAATTTATAAAACATCAAATCTAGAAAAAGCTTGTTTATAATAGCTTGAACTAATCATTTCCTTGTTTTTCAGCTAAACTGGCCATTTAGACTGAATTATTCTAAGTGATTATGTTTAACTACAGTATACACACGCGATCGCTAAAACCACTTCTCGACCAAAATCAAGATTAAAATTAACAATTAGCAAGAGGTTTTTTGTGACTTATCTTGTTACTGCCGTAAGCTCTTCAAATGCATTTTCCTCATAATGGAATAAAAACACTACCTACATCTACCCTTAAGCAAGACCTATGAAATTCACTAATAAAGATATAATTACTAGGGACTGGATTGTCATATTTAACGACATATTTTTTCTGAACCATGTGGTGTCGTATTTTACAATATTTTATGCATAAGACTGGTAATAGTGTAGGAAAGTTTGTTTTCATACAGCATACTAGCAGAACCTGACAGATGCCCAGCCCTCCATCTTCGTCTTTCTCCTTCCCTCTCCCTTTCTCTGTCTCTCTATATCTAGAGAAAAAAAAAAGTTATATTGTGCTGTACTTCAGGTTCGTTTGTTTTTCAAGCACATGCAAACATTTTAAAAATAAGAGCTAGTTAGTTGCAAAGACTTCAAAAAATAAGTACTACAATCACAATTTTTTTTTTTTTTCAATGAAATCTGTATTTATGCTTGTACAGAAAAAAAGAAGGCACGATTCTCTGAAGTAAACACGATCGTAGGAAAAATAATTCATACAGTGGATAATTTAACAAAAAACATTTATTTTATTTCTTTGGTTTCATGAAGGTAATATAAAACAAATATAACTTTTTTACTATAGAAAAATTTTAAAAATGTGAAACTGAAATATGTAAAACATTCGTACGCTTGATTTTGCATTCATTTCAATCACTGGACTGCTATGAAATATTTAGTATGATTGTTATGATAAATGATTTGAATACTAACTAACATGATGATCAGTCTCTGAAATTTTTAACCAAGGAAGAATAAGTTTAGTCTTTCAGCTCACCTTCCCCTACTTTCCCATCAAAAAGTATTATTTAGAGATTTCTTTTATGAGATTTTTCTTTTATAGTGTTTACTAATGTGGTTCCATAAAAACTGGATTTCCTTTTGACATCTGTATGCTCACGAGTTGTGAATATAAATTTTCGATAATTAAATAAATACACAATCATGAATTAAGACATGTGAACATTGAATCATTATCTTGCATTAAAACATTTATCTGAAAGTCTCAATTTTTTGGTACTGGATATTAAATTCATTATAAAATTGACAATATAATGTTTATGATCTGTCTTTCATGGAAAGACCCGGAAAGTCATGGCTGCACTCAATAAGACACAAACCATGCCACTACCATATCATGCTTGATTGAAAGAAAATATATTTTTCCTTCCAGTTCTTCCTTCTTTTTTATCCACACTTCCTTATAGTGTTCTTGAAACATCATGGATTTACCTTTATTAGTAAATGAAACATCATTTCAGAATCAATCAAAATTTCTTCTCCAATTTTCTTGATAAACAAATTATTTTATTTGGCATTTGTACAATTGTACTATCTTAACCACACAAACAATTTGTTTGTGTTTAATTAAGTGAACAACCGCTCTCAACTACAAATAATTCACTGTTTTTTTTTCTCTTGAATTCTCAATATGGTGGATATTTATCTTCCTGTCAGTTTAGATATTTGAGATAACAAACAAGAATTATGAACGCTAATGGTAATCCTTTCCTCTTTATTAGCATTCCCTCCATTTTGGGGGCCTATTTTATTGATTATATATTTTTGGATGATAATGATCAGTGAGAGAAAGAAACTACTGTTACCAACATAACTCCAAGATTACACTACTGATAGCAAAAATAAAAGCATCATTAAGATATGTTAACAGATTAATTTATTTAAACTACAATTGGGTGTAACCCAGTGGCAGTTCAGTTAATTACATAAATATATATTATAATAATATTAAGTAAACCTTTACAAGAAAGCCACTTGTACAAATACTTAAACATTTAGCACTCTGACCAGCAACTTCCCTCTTTGGAACCACATTTTTTGAACACAGTTCTGTCTTGAGGGGAATATTATAAAGAATAGTCTGAACTCCTTATTGGTTAAGTTTTAAATTGGTTTGTTGCACATTGTAGTTAACAGAACCTCAAATTTAAATATTGAGGTGTATTCATAGTTTCCCTATGATAGTTTGTCATACTTTTTAAAAAAAAAGTAAGTTGTAGGTTATAAATGCATATTTAGGAGATATTTAGGTGACTAAAATCCAGGTCCTAATAATTACTAGTCAGATACTCAGCTCGCAAATCTAATATAAATAAACAGAAAACATTTACCTCTTCTAATTTAATCGTACTCTCGGCTAAAACGTTAATAGCATCCATTTCTCGGGCTTCCTACAACTTTCAAATTTTTCTTCAATGCCACACTTGCGGACAATTTCACCCACTTTCGTCAAATCAGACTTCAAGAACGTCATTTTTTGAGGAACGTCAAATATTTCACATTTTATTGACTACTTGGGTTCTATAGTGCGATTTTTATATACTTCAGATTTTATAACGTGGCGCGGAAAAGTCTGCCTTCAGGACATAGAGGAGAGATACAATATATCTCTACTCTATGCTTCAGGATGGAAGCATGCGACATCTAGCGGCAAGACCGAGAAAGATGCGAAATGTCATGGGACAGGGCTTGAAGCGCCACGTTATAAACTCCAAGTACACAGCAAAGCAAGCCAGAGCTGGGATACTCTCTGGCTGGGACCTGGCAAGGGCGGTTTATTTGTTCCCTCCACAGTGACCCTGTAGATACAGGAATTTTATTTTCTATTGATTGAATGCATTAAGCTGCTGCCTTGTGGTTTCAGCAGATAGAGGAGGGGCTTTGTTTTAATAACGAAGTTCAATTCCCTGCACTTTGGCATTCCTAACTGAAGATCAATGAGTTCATAACTAATTACTGGAAACATTGTTGTTTTTAGGTAGGTGAGATGTTTTCCCTCGACATTCACACATCATTCATTCTTGTTTCATTATATATATATATATATATATATATATATATATATATATATA